GCAGCTTTTATTAACGTATGAAACAAAATTGAATTTTTTTTTTTTTTTTTTTTTGTGATAGAACTTATATAAATAATGATTACTCATTTTATAATAATAAAATCTAAAGGATATACTTTTAAAAATAACATTTATATTAAGAATAATAAATAATGCAATTTGATATTTCATAAACATACCTTATTTAAATGTATACATATATTTTATTGTTTTACGGCACATGTTTTAATAACTAAATGAGTTGCAGGCACCCAAATGGTACACAGATCAACAAATAATTCAAAACTATTGTAATTAAAACTGTCGTTTTCACGACAAATTTACTAACACAAGACATTTTCATTTATTATGTATAAATATTTTTAAAAAAATAAATATAACTTGACCTACTGACTAAACTTAACGCGCAAGATAAGCGACTTCAATTTTTTTTTTTAAGGTCAAGGGTATTATTGTTTTTTTTTTATCGTCGCGTAAATTACCCTGGGTCCGATATTTTTTCGACTACTAAGCGTTTCTCTGTTAGTCTTCTTTTCTGTTTCTTTTATAAACACTTAATGAAATTTATTTTATTTTACGATTATTATTATTTTATTTTGTATAATTTAAATGAAGTAGTTTTTTTTAAGCACGCAGAGGTATCAACTTAACTTAAGATAATGAATGTATATGATAAATGATTTTTAGCAACGTTTTTCATCATTATCATTAGGATTAACGTAATTACACATATATATTGTGAGATAAACAGACAATGAATTTTTCTTTTATAGTTGTTTTGAGTTTTCTTGTATGCGTAGCTTAGCCAACTTAATATTTTAAACAATAACAATACAATGTAGCCCATGCTTTTCCCATATTACCTTTTTATGTGGAATAGAATATGACAACCACTAGTAGCTTATTAAGACCTTGAGAACACCACTATTCATTTTATAGAGGGTTGACCTACAAGTCTTTTCAAGAAAGGCGAGAAGCTAGGTGGGATGTTTTCGTCGAGCGATGGCCTTTCAAATTTTCAATAAAAACGACAAGATAAGGGATGGATGATCGTCGAAATTAACCAAAGGTCAAAATAAGAGTACAGGTGGCCCTCCTTTAAATCATAATTAATTTAAACCAACCTATAGGAACCTTTATTTTCAGGGTATTTGTACATATCTTATTTATTTTTCTTAGTACCTATTTTTATTTGTATAACTTAGGTCTGAGGTCAGACCTCATTAGGGGAGGAGCAGCTGTAACGGTCACATTTAGCCGCCCGTTACCACTCGCCTCCAAATATGCATTATTAGCAGTTTACCCCGATTAGCATGTAAGCCATTATAGGTAGGGGAGACAACAGACACACGGGACAATGCCAGGGGCACCGATGCCCAGGCAGTTGACATACTACCATCTTCGGACCGCGACCTAATTATTCTAAAGCCTATCATTATTATTACCTATTATTTCACGTTACATTACTATTTTATATTTCTTTTAACTTTACCCGTACTCGTGTGTCCGTTCAACTCCGCCATTACCTGGACTAACTACAGAGAACGCTTTAGGATCCAGGTAGAGGTGTAATATATATGTACATAGCTTTACTTATTTAATAAACCTGTTTTCGTTTCGTTGCACACTTGAGAGTTAAGTTATTTAGAGGTACGATCGCCTGTTAAGCTCCTCAGGCGATATAGCAAATATACAAAGGAGACTTTAGGGATATTTAAGTGTAGATACGGCCTAGCCATCCGTCCCGTCTTCGGGTCCACTAATTTAACCCTATCGACTGTCGTTTCGGCCTAGCCTAGCCAACTAGCCAAGCAGACACGTTACACCTTGGTCAATTTGTGAGAATCAATAGTCAACCGATAATTGAATAATTATGGCAATAAATTGGTATAGACAAACGATCAACCCTAATCGTATTCACCCTAACAATAAAAATACATTTTTAAGAACATTATTATTTTAGGTTCTATGTATGTATTGACACATGTACTTCTACCATTACAGTATCCCATGAAAGAGTTCATTTTAAAAGTGATGTTATCAGTTTCAGTGGTGAAAATTCATATAGATCTATGACCCTGTAATATGCTTTGTGCCTCAATTCCACTTTACTTTTGCAATTTACAATTTTTTTGTATATCATTGCCCTCAAGTATGATTTTTACATCACAGGTTGACAGTATTCTCGCATCAAACATTTTTTTAGAATTTGTACACCAAGATATTTTAATATATTTTTGTTCATTTGCCGTTTTCAATATTCATTAACGTTAATAATATATCATATGTTAATAACGTGTAAAAATTACTTAGGTACAATGATTATTATGTATACCATGTCTGTAATTTGTACAAATGTATTTATTAAAAATGTAATATATTTTATTTTATGGATTAATTATCAACTGAAGTCGAGGCAAATTGGTGTCAAAGCATATTAGGGACGGGAATGTCAAAGATGTTTAGGAGTATATTATTTTATTTGAAATTGATATGCCATTTTCAAACAAACGATTCGTTTTGAAACTTTGGATTCAAAATAGTTATATTTAATTTACACTTTTTAAAATGCCCTGTTTTTCTTTAATAAAAAAATACTGGGGTATGTTAAAGGATTTGATGAAATTTATATTTGAGGTTATTGTAGGTAGGGTCTTACCACAAAGTTACAAATCTCAAGGTTAAAATTGAATAATTATGAAATTTTGTTTTGGGTTTTCCTGATTTTGAGGATGAAGGATCGATTTTTTTTAGCATTGTAGTAAATGTCACATTTTATACTTAAAATAAATGGTTGTAACGTGTCAAACCAATTTGTCATTTTAGTATTTTTGAATGTATAAAACTATTGTTCACGATTTGTTTTTTGTTTTCCATAAATGTGAACACTTGATTACATTGTTATAAGTATATTAATGTGTACCGTGTGTGAATTTGAAATGCATAACACAGAAAATCTTAAATTAATCGTTTTAACTGTAATTCTTAAGAAGTATTTTAAAATTTGAATATTTTGCATTTCTAACTTGAAAATTACGTCGCTCAATTAATTTTTAAAAATAGTCAAATAAGTTCTAAATTTGTACCGAATTTTTGTCCTTTACACGCGAAAAATTGTACGACTTGATTTTCAAAATCGAGAAAACATCCGATAAGCTTACATAATTTTTGACTTGTTATAATTCTTATAGACCTGTGACCCCCCTCTAAATATTCTCCAATACCACTATGCCTTGTACCCGCTGTACTGGCTTTTCTAGATTTCCTTTTGTTTTTAAACTATATAAGACGTATTTTTTTTTTCTTCTTTATAATTGTAACTTAAGTCGTTACATTTTAAATCGTTATACGATTGTGGGACACTTGTATACACACAACTGGTTTAACACGCATTTTGCCGCCAAGAGAATATAGTCATAACACAAATATCAAATTTAAAGACGACGTGTACAGGTCATATATATTAAGGTACACATAACTGTTGGCTGGGTTTTTACACGTGATTTTATTTAAAATAAAATAATATTTGTTTAGATGAATATTTAAAAAAATACCTTTAGCATTTTCAGATAAATGTATCGAAACATCTGTGTGAAAAAAACCTAAAATAGGAGGATTGATTCGAGATTATTGTCAACTTCTTAAAATATACGAAATCTGCGAAAAACACAGTTTTGAAGGAAAACCGGCATTTAAGAAAATCTGTAGTGCCGTATTTTTTCTTCGTTTAATAGATTATAGACACATATGAGTTATAACTACTGACAAATTCGCTTTGCATCGAAGCCAAAACAATTTTCTGGTTTTTTGTGTAAAAGAGTTGTGTAAAACCCCATCCCCATCACAACCCCATTTCCATCTATAAAGTGGAGAACGTTTCATTATACACGCTGTAATAAATGTATAAAAAAATATATATTAATTTATTTATTTATTGTGTCTGGAAATTGTAACAAATAGTACGGTTATTTTCTTGTACGCGTACAGAATATTTAAACCAGAGGCCCAAATTTAGATTTCAAATTGATAATATACGTTAGATTTTATTTTATACTATGAATTTTATTCCTATGAAATACGATAGTATATTACAACAAACGATAAAGTGTGTAAAAAACACATATCTAGTAAACCTATTTATTTTTGGTATTATTTACTTTAAGTTCGTATCGACATGAAAAAATGTACTAATGTAATTATTTATATTCTAATATATTTCATTTAAGGTCATAATTTTTGAGTTTTGTATAAATGTTAACAACATATGTGTAACAGCCCACAGACTGTAATCGAAAATAAAAACCATAGTCTAAACATTCCTTTACACCTGTATAAATAAAATATATTCACGCACTGCAAAACTTATTTCGATTTAACTTTATCAAGGACAAACCACAAACCGAATCACTATAAAACAGTTGATTTAACATAGTTCACTTAGTTCTACCAGATTTTCAAAGCTAGTAAGTACTAAATGCACTTTTATTAAGTTTTTTGTAATTATTATTTTTTTTATTTTCGTGTTTAGGTTTTCGATAAACTTTTAACCACTAGGCTAATTTCATTAATAATATAGTACAGAAATGATACACCGTTTTGTGTTGATCAGAAATCGAACCTAAAATTTGCATCTTTAGGCCCAATATTTAAAAAGTTTCATTCCAAATCAATCAGGACAAATAATAATAAAAATAAGTACAATATGTTTCATTTCGAATACGAAAAACTATGTAAAACAGTTTTTTAAAATTTTATATGTTAATGGGCCACTTGCATTTATTAAGGCTCATTGAATATAGATAATTTTTCACTAAACTTAACATAAAGCTAACATTTTTAAACATACATATTACCATGGGAAAGAAGTATAAGAAATTCTTATTTTCTTTTCTTTTTATTTTTGTGTTTAGATATACAATTATACCTAACCTAATCTTTCCGATTATATTAGGAAGTGAATAGGTAAGATAATTTCATTTATAACATATCGCAACAATTTTACACCGTTTCAGTCGTGTAGCATGACTTTAGATCAGAAATGGAACTTAAAATGTGCGTCAATTGGCATAATAGTTAAAAAGTTTCATTCAAAATCAGAAAAATAATAAAAAATATTTTATTATGACCATTTTATCTGAGAAGACATTTTATCTTGAATCAGCTTCGCATCGAAGGCAATAATTAATTAAAGACTATGTCTAATACAAAAAGGCTTTTATTTTTATTGTTGTTTGCAGATAAAAATGAGACGTTTTTGTTTTTTATTATCATTCGTTGTGGTAAATGTTTTAGCAGTTATAGATTTTGATAAATTATATGGTAATTATTTTTTTTTTTTATATTTAACACTTGCCTACTCGAGGTAATTAAAAATCATAAAATTATTTAATGATTAACTTTTTACAGGTGAACTTGTAGAGCAGGCTCAATTAACAAGTTAGTAAATTTATTTTATCATAAAAATGTAATTCTAATTTTAAAAATTGACATATATTTATTTTAATTTATTTATTACAGATAGACAAATCCGGAGGGTGTCATGTCGTGATGGTATAACATACACTTATTGTTAGAATTTATTAGTTACTTCAACTCATTATTTGTTTATTCTAGTGCGTTTGATACCGGTAATTAGAAAATTTGTTCTTGCAGATAAATCGATGAGTAATTATAATTATTAATGTATTTGAAAGTATTAGGTTAGTTACACATCTCTTATACATTTATGTTATGCACATTTTAGGTGATTTGGCGTTAATGTTTGTTGGACCATGTAATAATTTTTCTTAAATATAAGAACGTGTCTGCACATAGTAGTTTGATATTAAGTATAAAATGTTATGGTTAAAGTTTCAGGTGTATTATCTCAACCAAATCACGACGATGAAATACTGCAACGTAATTACTCTTATAAATTTTAAATGTAGAATCTTTTCATGTATAATATTCATGCATAATTTTTTTTTTTTTTTTAGATGCCATAGATTCCGAAATCGAATTACAAACAGCTATAACAACCCGGTTAGGTAAATATAAAAATTTGTAAATCTACAATTTCAAAAATTATAGTCATTTTTTTCTAAGCAAAATAGATGAAAATGTTATTTAAGTTCTTATATCTTAAAGCTTTATGTTTTCTTACTAAAAGTTTAAATGATTGTTCGAAGTATAATAATTATTCAAACGGCTAATAACTAGTCTAAATAAATGTAATTTTAGATAGTGTTATAAATTTAATATAAAATTGGATTTTATTTTCTGTATAATTATTTAATGTTTTTGTTACAGGTGTCCCTGTTCCTGACCAAAGTAATATATTAGTCAAATAATAAGTGCCAATAGGTTTATAGGTCCGCTATAACTTCATATAAAACAAAATAAGGATAAATGCACTTAATTGATTAGAAGAATGTATTATGCTTTAATTATTCAAATTATATCATAAGCAATATACTTTGAAAGTTTTTCTTGTGCTTTGGAAAATTTGTTCATAATAGATTTTACAACCGTAGGTATTAGCGTTTTAAGTTGTAACCGTCAGTCAAGACATATGTACACCATCCCAAATTCAGAAACTAAATTTTAATAAAAACCATCTGCTATCCGTTTGCTTGCTACGTTTTAAGATAGTGTCGACATTTATTATTAAATAATGATGATTATTAAGTTGTATATTTTGTTTTCATTTGTGCCGATATTATTATTTGATACTTTTTAGTATCTTAAATTATAATTTGTTTTTATTAGATAGACCTATAGGTCGAATATGTACTGCAATGAGAAATCGATGTCGTCCACGTGAACCGCAGAATTCGGAGGGTAGCTGTTATTATAATTATATAAAACATAAACATAAAGCTTATAAAACTGTATTAGTTGTGTTAAAAAAATATTATCGTTGATTTATGCAAATCAATCAGTGATATATTGTTGCTTAGCGACATTTATTTTAATTGTAAAAAAAAGAAATAATTTATTCAAAGGCATATGTGAAACAAACTTTGCTATAATTTTAAAACATATTGCTTGGGAATTAAAAGTAGTTAGTATTTACAATGCATATACTTGTTTAATTAATACAAAGTATTGGAAAATTACTTACTACTAGTTCGTCATAGAAACAATTGAACAAAAACTTAATTGTACTACGTTAATAACTCGAGTAAATATATTATTTTTGTATAGAATTTTTGTAATCAATACGGTTTATTATTAAATTGTACAGATATTCCATTTGTGGATCTGAAACTTCAAGAAGAGAGAACAAAGCTATTCCGTGATGCTACAAAACTATTTATCAGTTCTGCATTAAGTAAGTATCATATCAAAATGCAATAGTTTAATATTTGTTATATATATATAAATGTGTTATTGCCTGTGTTAATTAAATTAAAAAACAGAATTACTTTGAGGAAGGAGTTAAAGTAAAAATGTTGCAAAGGAATAAATTTTTTTGGTGACAACTTTTAAATACGTCTAAACCAATTTTCACAATATGTCTACCCTAATTAAATATATATATATTTGTATATTAACACTTTTAATCTAAATATGACGACTATGGGAAGTTGTTTTTGGTGTATTAAATTGTAAGATAGTTAAATCAATAATTAAAATAAATAAATAAATAAATAATTTTTTATATCTTATTCAAACTAAAGTTACGTTTTATAGCCAATACTTAAAGCATTTTTTAAGCTTTAGTAATATTCCTTGCTTATATACATACATATATAAAATTATGATTTTCATATATATTAAAAAAATAGCCAAGACAAAAATTGTTAAAATTTATATTTGTTAAGATAAGAAGAATGTTCTCATCATATTTTTTCAATTATTTTGGACATGGCCGTATCATTTTTTTTCTCGACTGTTTGTTTTTATCGTATTTTCGATCTTCAAAATAATTTTTAAAAATAATTTTCATATAATAAGTAATCTTAGCTCTATGGAAAAAAAATGTACAAAGTTTTTCAGCCGGGTCTGCAACCTCGAAAGAGCATTTTCATGTCTCGTTGAAGTACCGAATAAATTTAGAGTAGTGGTGGAATTATAGATAATGATATACTATCTTAACAAGCGGTAACAAGCTAGTATATTAAAACGTTAAGTTTCTGGCTAAAATTGTAGTGTTTATTATCTGGCCAAATGTAACTTAACATAGAGAATTAAACTATTTTAAATTTATTATTTAGTTCTAATTTGAACGTTGAACGTACAACATATCTCTTATCTCATATCAGATAACAGCTTAACGCTTTTTTCGGTTATTCGCCACAGCTAAACACAGTTAAACTATAACTCTATTTAATAGTTTTCTACTCGAAAAAACAAATAAGTAATTTTTTACATATAAAATTGGTTTTAAAAAAAAATGTTGATGGCCACCTTCGACAATCAACATTGTTTTTAAGCAAAGAAAAATATTATATTAAAATCTGTTCAAACTAAAAGTAGCTTTTTAGTGATGTCGTTTTATAGAAAAGGGATAAATTAAGCATTTACTTTGATAAAAAATATAAGTTCAATTTTTTTTGATATTTTAATTATTTTCCTAGTTTATATAAATAAAACTATGGTTGTTTTTTAAAGGTGTATTTTAAACAAACGGTATGACTAATAAATTGCGATACTCGAGGTGACCAGTCTATTTTATCTCCATTTGAAAATGTTATTTTCTTAGAGTAACAAAGCTGTACCATACGGATCATCTGTATATAGCATTGATCACGTGTATTAGTTATTCCTTATACACTGAATAAATGTACTAGCTAGCAAGTTAAACTTGGCAAATTTTTTAAATATGCCTTTTTTATTTTTTAAGGACCAGCCCACGAAGACTACAGAAATTATAACCTGATGTGTCGATTAAAAGGTGTATACAGAAGTATATTAGGCCCAATAGGTACTTATGTAATGTCAGCTGAAGTTGTTGATGATGAGTGTCGTCTAACTGATAGTCTCGGAAAAACAACCACTGTCATTTGCATTGGGGATGACACTGGAGATGACTATTTAACAAAAAATCATTAATATAGTAAAAAGTATTCACTTGCTCATTAAAACATATACAGTACTATTGTTATTATATTTGAATAATTATTCCAAACCATATTTGTATAAAAATTATCAAATTTAATATATCTTTCAATAAACCGTTTTACTAATGTTTATAAACTCATTTGTTGCTTTTTACCTGTACACACATTCGATTCGAAGTGGTTTTGTAAATAGTTTTATTTTTTTTTAATCATCCTCTTTAATTACTTATTATAATCCATTCAAGTCCTATATCTAAACCACTAGACTTCATAGTTTAGCCTTTTTTCAAAATTATTTATTTAGAGCAAATTTAGGTAATTCTGTTCTCTTTTGTGCATTCTTTGGAGTAATCAAGCACACATGTTTTTTGGAAAAACTAAATATAATTACAATTTGATTATTATTTAAAAATATAATTAAAAATTCACAAGTTCTGGATCCATTTCAAGACTTTAACAACTTGAAATGCAATACTTCACGACTTTTTTCTATTCTGCGATTTTGGAAGGTATTATAATATTTTAGTTTAGACTCAAGACTAGTTTATTATTTGACCGAAAAACCACAAATTCAAGTAACTCAATATTACAAGAATCTAAAAACGTATGCTTTGCAGTGAATTTATCAACTAAGTTTAATGTATGAAAGTAAATTTTATTCTGTACTAGAAAAAAAGATTGTATTATAATTTTATAATATAATACTATTTCGATTTTCTCGACTTTTAAATGTTTTAAATTTTCGGTTAATCATTATGTGTACATTAAATTCTTTTGGGGGAAAAAATGTTAAGCAATTTGTAGAATTTAGAAATAAAACAAATATTCTCGATAATGTTAAGGAGAAACGTTTTTTTGTTTTGGTAACGGCGCAATAAATAGGCAAAACAAGTATATGCATGTAAACTGTAAAGAAGAACCAAAGTTAAACATTTTTATAATAACAACTGACCGAAGTGAAAAAAATATTATATTTGTAAATTGAGTGAATAAAATATTATGACATTTAATGTTATTAATTATGAAGAAAGTATTGACAACAGTCAAGATTAATCATAAAACTCATTTTTAATAATTTAAGCACATTACTAAAATATAATTACTGGTACGCATGTTATTATGTATTGTAATTAACAATGTTTAAACTATTAAATAATTGTATTATTTGTTTTCATTGTAGTATTACATACTTTCGTTTTTGTGATTATTATTATGTATAAGAAATAGCAAGTAGCTGTTTTTGTTATTTCCACGCTGAGAGTAAATAGTGATGTGCGATCATTTCCCTCTCAGGTTGGCGATTACTGTCGGATCGAGTTGAAATTTATAAGGAATATTTGAAAGTGATTTTATTCAATTTTATCACTTATATTTATAATCACTCCTGTAGACCCACGACCTCTTCGTGCCGTCTATGCTTTGATTCTATTAAGCCTATACTCTACTGTACTAGTGCTCTCGGATAAAATCACTTTCAAATTAACGCTTTGATGCTTATTTGTAAATGCAGCACCTCAATTTAATACTTTCTAACTTTGCTGGCTTACACTGTGCTTGGTTTGGACTGTACTGGCTTAAAAATACCAACTACCGATTTGAATCGAAGCCGATTTTCGAAAGTGATTTTATCACTTTCAGATTTAAGAATTCCTGTAAACCTATGACCTCCCCGTCCTCACTATGCCCTGTCCCCATGATGCCCTGGCCCCACTGTACTGGTTTCTTATGAAGTAATGTTACTCGACACAAAATTTTGAGTTTAATTAACGCTGATTATTTCCTTCTTCAAAGATTCCAAGTAAAAAGA